CTCCTTAAGAAGAGCATTTACCTCGGCAGGGGGCTGGGGTGTGTGTCTGCACAGCTGTGTGTTGTAGTTATGTTCCCTGGTGATGCAGTGGTTAAGTGCATGCTGTTAACCGAAAGATTAGTGGTCCTCAGGAGAAAGGCCTGGGAATCTGCTCCCGTTAGGATTACAACCAGGAAAAACGTCTGGGGCCGAAACCCTCTGGGTAGTGTGCTACTCTGTCACTCCGGGCTGTTAGGGGTTGGAATCTTTTCATCAGCACCCAACAGCAACGAGCAATGCTTACAACAAAAGAAAGAAAAAAGAAAGAAGAAGGTTGCTGTCAAGTGGGCTCCAACTCAGAGCAACCGTGTGTGCCAGGGCCTTGCCCCCCAGGGTTGGCAATCGCTGCTTTCCCAGAAGCAGACCACCGGGTCTTTCGTCCAAGGTGCTTCTGGGTTGGCGCAAACCTCCCAGCATTCATTTAGTGGCCCAGGGTGTTGACATGTGCACAGCCCACAGACTCTAGTGATCTTAAGGAGAAGAATGTATTCCATTTATTGATACACTCTAAGTTACTTAGTACAGTGGGTCTCAACCTTCCTAATGCCGCAACCCTTTAATACAGTTCCTCATGTTGTGGTGCCTCCTCCCCCCCCCAACCACAAAATTCTTTTCGTTGCTTCTTCTTATCTGTCATTTTGTTACTGTTCTGAATCGGGTGATCCCTGTGAAAGGCCGTACCACCCCCAAAGGGGTCATGACCCACAGGTTGAGAACCGCTGACCTAGTACTTTTCTACCTGTCCAGGTTTCTGCAGTTGTCTAAAGAAGGGTTTGATTACTATAACATTTTTTTTTAGAGTCAGGGTATATTATGTAACCAAACCAAGCCCACTGCTATTCAGTCAATTCCAACTCATAGCAACCCTGTATTGAGTGTTTGAGGCCATACATTTTTATGGGAGCAGACAGCTTAATTGTTTGCCCTTGGAGCGGCTGGTGGATTTGAATTGCCACCCTTACAGTTAGCAGTACAACTTCAATACGTCAGGCTCCTTATTAAGTAATCAGCAGGCATGAACGTGCCTAGTACCTTTTGCGTTAGCTTTTCTTGAGCTCTTTCTATGTCGCAGACTTGTTCTCAACACCTTAAAGCAGAGGCCCTCAAACTTTTCAAACGGGGCCAGTTCACTGTCCCTCAGACCCGTTGGAGGGCTGGACTACAGTTTTAAAAAAAAACTATGAACAAACTCCTATGCACACTGCACATATCTTATTTTGAAGTAAAAAAACAAATGGGGCAAAAACACCCGGCAGGCCGGATAAATGTCCTCGGCGGGCCGCATGTGGCCCGCAGGCCGTAGTTTGAGGACGCCTGCTTTACATGCATCATTTAGTTAATTCTCACCACAGCTCTGACAAAGACTACCCTTACTTTATAGATGAAGAAATTGAAGCACAAAGACGTTCTAGTGATAGGAAACGATGGCTATTACTCACGCCTAGATTTCTCCAATTTCAGTGACCACACTTTTCAACCATTCAGATGAGCAGAAAAGAAGAAATGTTTTTCACCGTCTTGGAACCTATAAGGGAAACCAGAGAGAGTTAGAAAACACAGAATTAAATGCTACATTGTGAATTGTAGATATCGTTCAGGACTTGAGGGAGATCTGTGTGCATCTGGAGTGTGTGATGCTGGAGGTGAGCTGGACCGCTGGAGGAATGGGTAGAGTTAGTAAAGGGGAATAGACAGCAAGTGGTGGAGATAATACTGGACAGGTAAGGTAGGCTCCCATCTGAAGGCGGGGTGAGGGGTTAGCCTAAAAGTATAAAATGGCTTGTCTCTAGGGGAAGAAAAAATGACCCAGGCAGGGTGACAGGTCATATTCTGTAGCATGAGCTGGCTCTTGTGAAGACCAACCTGAACAAATTTTCTGAGAATTACATAGGACAGAAAGCCATTGTAGTGGAGTGGCACATTGGAAATGGTGCACCTGGAGGGTTAAGTGCAATGAGAGTGCACTCCTTGGTATTCGAAAGGAGCCAGAAAAGAGATTTTCCTTGCTTACAGCAGTCTAGTAGCTCAACCTCATGCTTAGATTAGAAGTTGTGGTCCTTACCTTGATCTGCCAAGTTTGAACCCTGAACTGCTTCCCAAGCCTGTACTTTTTCCTCTGCCCCTTACTTATTACTTACTCTCTGTCCACAAACTTGTGCTCTCTGTCTCATTCCCATCTCAATGCCTTTACATTGACCTCCTCCTTTGCCTGGGTTGCTCTGCCCCCACATTTCTGCTCCAGTGTATTTAAGGAGAGACCTTTTCTAGGCACCCTATGTAAAGTCACTGCCCCCACCCTCACCCCAGCTTCCACAATTACTTTTTATCTCATCATTGGGTTCAGTCTTCAACATAGCATGGTTGTACTGATGTATTAATTTGCTATCTGTCTTTTCCAAATAGGAATAAGGCTCCTGAGGACAGGGAATTTGTTTCATTAGCCATGGTATCCCTAACTGCAGAGCCTGTACCTATAATAGTAGAAGGACACTGTGTTCTGAACATTAGAAGGCCAGCCCTGGTAGGGTAGTAGGGTACATGTTGGTTGGGCTGCTAACCACAAAGTCGGTAGTTTGAAACCACCAACACCTCCCCGGGAGAAAGACAAGACTTTGCCCACCCTTAAAGAGTTACAGTCTTGGAATCCCACAGGAACATTTCCCTCTTATTCTATAAAATTGCTATGCATCGGAATCAACTCGCTGGTAGTAAATTTGGTTTGGGTTTTGAATCCTAAAATAAGGAGGCCTAGTAGTGCAGTGGTTAAGCCCTTGGCTGCTAACCAAAAGATCAGTGGTTCAAATCCACTAGTTGTTCTGCAAGAGAAAAAAGAGGCAGTCTGCTTCCTTGAAGATTTACAGCCTTGGAAACCGTACGGAGCCCTCTGTTCTGTCCTATAGGGTTGCTGTATGGTCAACACAATGGCAATGGAAGGGGTCGTTCCACACACACACACACACACAGGACTCGGCAAGTGTGAAAATTGTAAATTGACTTCTAGGTTTTGTGTCACACTGCCAAATGATGGAGTGACTAGATTGAAACCTACTGCTTCTCTTCAATTTTGCTTTTTGCGGGTGGGGTGGGGTGGGAGAAGCCGAGTGAGGGCATTGGGAGAGGGTGGGGATGGGCATGCACATACAGATACATAGATAATTGCACACACTTAGTGCCTAAGAGATTGACGTCAGCACTGATTGAGTGTTTCTGTTGGTAGCTTAAAGTGAAAATTTAGAAGAAAAAAGGTCACTCTTTTTGTGACTTCTTTTCCGAGTTTATGAAAATAGCAGGCTAACCACAAATTCTCCGACTGTGCTGTAATTAAGCATTTCATTTTTTACTCTACAAATGGAAATGGCATTGACCTAGATCGTTAGGTTAAATTAGAAAGTTTTACACTGGAAACGTTCCCACTGCTTTACATGGGAGAAAAAAGGTAAATTGAGTTTTGGGATGAGGCCTTTTCCACTTTCACCGTCATGACTTTGAGTTATCCACAGGCCAACAATGATAGCATCCATTTAACAATAGCCCCCGAGCACAGTCGCTAGTGTCTAAATCTTCTTCTTCTTCTTCTTTAGTTTATTCAGGCAATATGTTATTTTCATCTAGGTTATTGAGGACTTTCACTAAAAATGAAACATAAAACATAACAATAAACGCCTCCCTTCCCCAAGCCTCACTGTCATCTAATTGATTTTGACTTATAGTGACCCGTGTAGTGCAGGGTAGACCTGCCCCTTTGGGATTCCGAGATGACAACTCTTTATAGTAGTAGAAATTCTCATCTTTCTCCCTTGGAGAGGATGATGGTATCAAACTACTAACCTTCTGGTTAGCAGAAAATTTATAACCACTACACCATCTGAGTTAGTTAATTGTGCCAGCCTGGCCGATAATCACATGTGGTGCTGGTTGAAAGGCGGAGGGATAAATGGGTGGTGAAGCCTCGCCTTTCTAGTTCTCGGGTCTCTTGTTTTGTGATGGTTGCATCGGGTGCAGCTGCCTTAGCAGTTCCCTGCTTCAGCTTGCAAGATGGATTTCCTACAAGACATCCCCAAGGAGAAGCCGCATGGATCTATCCTGATGCAGCCCTTGGTGCTGGAGCAGCCATGTGGAGACCCCCTGCCAGTGCTGAGATGCTTACACGTTCATTGACTCAGCTTTCCTCCTGCAGTCGGCATTATTGCCTCTGTTTTGTGAGGTGAAGGACTTTGTGGACTGGTGTTGGGTATGGGTTAATGTTGGACTTGTGGGCTTGGGCAGTATTGGGTTGGGATGTTTTCGTGATGCACATTTTCTTTGCATAAAACTCTCTCTTATACATGAGTTGCTGTGGATTTGTTTCTCCAAAGTACCTAGACTAATACACCATCAGAACTCCTTTCTAGGACTTTAGGTGTACTATTATGTACTTATAAAGGATTTCTTAAAATGGCCACTCTTGCCTTTTTACAGGTGTTCTTAAAGTGTGGTCTCTAACCCAGAGCATCAGCATCATCTGTGCACTTGTTAGGAAGGCACATCCTCAGGCCCTATTCTAGGTCTAATGAATCAGAAACTTTGGGGATGGGCCCAGCAGTCTGGTTCTGACAAACCCACTAGGTGATACTGATGCACACTAAAATGTGAGCACTATGGCTTAATAAATGTTAAAGGTTCAAGGTCGTATGATCCTGCAGATCAGCCAAACAGCATTAATTATTAGCCTGGTAATCCCACCTCCTCTGAGGTCATTGCATTTGATTGGCACACTAAGTCTAGGCTGTAAAGTTATTTGCTAGATTGATTGCTACATATTGACTTTGGGTTGTTTGTATTTCTCTGAACCTGTCACTGTGATGATTTCCCAGGACACCTAATAAGAACAGGCTGTGATTTTTGTACCCATGGCTTTCTGAGCCTTGGATGGCTAGGCTCTTACACCTTCCTAAAGAGAGGGCTCTAGGTACTTACCAGGCATGCCGTTCATGCACTTGAACGAGATGTCAGTGTTGGGTTGTAAGAGTCCTGCAGGTGCACTTAGTCATCCCAGTTGGGTTTCTGGGTGGAGAAATCTAGCAGATGTGCACAGACTGTGCTTTGCCTGAGGTTGCCCAGCTAGTGAGGAGCAGAGGAGGGATTTCAGGGATCACGACTTGCCTCTCCTCTGCCCTGGTTTTCGGGGTGGGGGTGGGGGTCCTGGAGGCAGAGCTGCAGCTTGCTCTGTGCTGGGAGGACATTTCTGTCCTAGCCAGAGGGCTTCTTTTTATGTGAAGAAAAAAAAGCAAATCGAGGGGCGGGGGAAGTCTGGAAATTCTCATTGAAACTAATAAAAGTGTCTAAAGAGCATGAAAAAATCAGTTTGAGAACTTTGGTATGGAGGAAATAACCTGACATTAACTGTTTTAATTATAGTTGTGGCATTGGGCTTATCAGTGTGGGAAGAGGGAGCATTTGAGCCCTACAGGGAAGTGGGATATGGACAACAAGATGATCCTCTTCCTGAATCTGCCTGCTCAGTAGTCCACGGCCTAGTGCCTGTCTGTGTGTTTGCAACAGCTGGCACGGAGGCGGGACTGGACGCAGCCAGAGAGCTGCCTGAGGCTCCGCCCTGCACCAGCTTCTGGGGTGATGCTTCCCCGAGGAGGGGCCTGAACCTCTTTGGCCTGCACTTTCTGTTAGATGGATGTAATAATACCTATCTTGTCTATCCTCCGAAGAGGAGCAGTAAGCTGTGCATCACTGCAGTGAAAAGCACAGATTCCGAATACAGACTTCATAGATTCAGAGTCTGGCTCTTTAACTCACTGGTATGACAACAGGCAGGTCACTATTCTATTTTTTTCACCTATAGAGTAGGTATAATGGAATTAACTCTGTCAGAAGAATGCTGTGGTGGTTGTATTAATTATGTGAAATGCTTAAAACAGTGCTTGGTGTTTAGTAAATACTGTGTGGAGCCCTGGTGGTGTCATGGTTATACTGTGATCCACAGGGTTGACAGTCTGAAACAACTGGCAGCTCTGAGGGAAAGAGGCTGGGTTTTCTCCTCCCATAAACAGGTAGTCTTGGAAACAGGGGGTTGCCATGAGTCATCATTGACTTGAGAGCAGTGAGTTGTGTGTGTGTTACAAAGGTGCCCTGGTGGTGCAGTGGTTGAGTGTTTGATTGCAAACCAAACAGTGCAAATGCATCAGCCACTCCTTGGGAGAACGGTGTGGCAGTCTGCTGCTGTACATACAGTATTGACAGCCTCAGACCCCTCTGGGTGGGGTCTGCCCTGCTGTGTGGGGTCATTATGAGTTGGAATCATGACAGCAACTCATTTTTGTTCAATGGGTTAGCAAGGATGGCTGGGATCTTCCTTAGAAGTGAGGATGGGAGATTTCTTTGTTTGGGGGTTGTGTGGGGGATTTCATCTAGTGTAACCAGGAAAGGTCAACAGCTAGAAGAGGACATCCTGTTTGGTGAAGTGGAGGGCCAGCAAAAAGGAGGGAAGCCCTCGTGAGATGTTGAAATGCATTGGCTACAACAATGGGCTCAAAGATTGCGAGGATGGCATAGTACCATGCAATGCTGTGTGCACTGATAGACTAGGTTAGAGAGGAGCTGGCGGCTATGAACAACAGTGTTTCAGCTTGAGTTGAGCTCTCGTCTACTAACTAGAAGGTTGGAGATTCGAGTTTACCCAAAGAGGCTTCAGAAGAAAGGTCTGGTGGTCTACTTCTGTAGAATCATTGCTATTAAAAACCATATACACAATTCCACTCTGAAACAGTCAATTCGATGGCATCCGTGATGTTTTGGTTGGTTTATGTGTTAGCTGCTGTCACTACTTTTTAAGGATGTTTTTATTTCTGTAAGCATTCTCAGATGGTTCTCCCATTTGATGCGGTACTGGACAAATAGGGAGTTCTCGTGCAAGTAATTGTTAAGAGAGGGGATGTTCTGATATCTAGTTGTTCCTGGACCTTTCTATGGAAAGAAAATCTTTTCACTCTTTCATGAGCTCCTCAGAGTTAGGGATGATGTCTTAATCCCTGTAAATTTATGTCCTCACTCTCCTTTACCCTCTAGATCAGGGGGTCCTCCAACTCTGGCCCCCGGGCCACATGCGGCCTGCCGAGGACATTTATCCGGCTGGCTGGGCGTTTTTGCCGCCCCTGCTTGTCCTGCTTAGCAGCCGACTTGTCAAGTGTCTATAGGAATTTGTTCATAATTTTTTTAAAACTATAGTCTGGCCCTCCAACGGTCTGAGGGACAGTGAACTGGCCCCCTATTTAAAAAGCTTGAGGACCCCTGCTCTAGATCTGAATAGAGTGTGGCACATAGTAGGCTCTCAACTCTAGCTGGTTGGCCAAATACTGATGCTTCTGTTCTGAAAGTTCATCAGAGGCTTAAAGTAATTCATTAATATAATGGCCTAATAGTCTACCCAGTTTTTAATAAGCATTAAAAACAAATATTTTACGTACTAATCTGAAGTATCAAAATCCTAAAATGCCAATGATATATCGTGGACTTTATAACTTTTATTGGTAACATTGGAACATAGGGATGTAACAGCTGGGGAGATGTGAGCTCAGAGCCTCATTAAAGACCACAAAGTGGTCACAGGAGAGAAGACACTTTGGGGCTGAGTCTTCCTGGGGCTCAGGAACCCAAAGGGTCACAATGCTGATTAAACTCTAGCGGGAAATTCAGATCAGGTCAAATGTGGGATTGACTGGTGACCAAGGCTGGGTCACACTTTCTTTGGCATCTAAGGACTATGATTAGTGATTTGCTTCTAATTTGTGTTTGCTTTTCTTTTTTAGCACTGCAGTGTCGAGATGGCTACGAGCCCTGTGTAAATGAAGGCGTGTGTATTACTTACCACAATGGCACAGGATACTGCGAGTAAGTTTTTCTCTGGATATTCTCTTTTTATGTATTTTATCTTTCCACAACTAGGACAGTGAACAACGTGGGGTTCTACTGTCTGTTTTAATACTTCAGTGAAATGTCACTGGTTCTTTTACTTTTCTGATGGTGTGTGTGTGTGTGTGTGTGTGTGTGTGTGTGTGTGTGTCTTGGGGTAGCTTGTTTAAGTGGGACATTGTGGAATCAGAAGACAAGTATTGACAAATGGCTATTTGACCTTAATGTCTTGTTGTTACTATTTTAATTATGATAAAAAGATTTAATATATGAGTACATTCTCTTGTATTGTTTAGTATCTCATAACTACTATTTAAGGTCAAGAGCTAGAATCTCTCCTTGACCATTTAGCTATGGCCTTGTTCCTAAGCCAAACCTAACAGATACTAACTTCAGTTCTGCCTGTAGATATTATAGGCTAAAGAGGCCTTTCCTTTCTTCATAGTGAAAAATCCAATTCTGAAAGTGAGATGGTGAGAGCAGAGAGTGAGCTATCTACATATGTGTAGGGGTGGGGTGGGGAGTTAGGTGCATGCTAGTACATGGTGTTAGAAGACTGGAAGAAGGAAGGCCTTGGGAACAATATGCCAGGTTTTGGCCCCATAATTTTTTTCTCATTCTCCAGTCATCCTGGGTAGCCAGATAAACGTTTTGCTTACTTGAGGACAAGTAGAAGGTAATGTCATAAAGAGCTTCTCTCAGATTCTTGAATACCATTTATTCCCTTCTAGATCAGTTGAAAATTTCGAACAGGAACTCTTGTTCATTGTATTTATGTGGTGACAAATATTGGGAAACTAATATTTGATAATATGAAATTTCTCTTCAACACTTTCATGGAATGTGTTCTTTGTGGATGGTATTTGTTTAATAAATTGAGTTTATTCAACACATTTTTGTTTCTTCTCTGGGTATTTAATTAAAAATCATAGATCTAGTTGAGACAGCTCCCTAATGAGCTCATTCCAGTATGAGAGCTTTGGTTCTTTTTTGCCACAAACAAGGGTTTCTAGGTCAGAGGCAGGTTTCTTAACCAAAAGTGAAAATAATTTGAGCTGTGATGACAGTAAAGTTTAACAATAGACTGTTGGGATAAAGATAACATTGGATTGAAGCTGCTGCTGCTTTTT